CGGGCACAAAAGAAGAGGAGGGTGTCCCGAAAGAAAAAAAAAAAAAGTGGAACGTCGAACTTTGTGGGATACGCAGGGGGGGAAATATGGGACAGCACGATTCTCCTCGGGTTGTAACGTTTTTTTTTTCCGCCGGTTGTTGCCGGGGCAACGACAGATCGATTGACGAGCTCGGGTACTTTCTTGGGTCACCAACGTTGTCTCATGAAAGGCACAAACCCGAACGATGCAAATGGGTGCTCTGTGGTAGCCAGCACAGTTGAAGATACGCACAGCTCGGGAAATCAAATGCTACACCAGGTGCTGCCATTGGTAATGTCAAACATAGCACTCGTCGTGGTGTCACCTCCATCGAAACTACGTCAGAACATGAACGCCGCGCACCTGGAAAAACCCTGGGTCAGCCTCCGGCCCGATGTTCATCCCCGGAAAGTCTCGGCCAATGAAATGCCGTATCATCTGCGAAAACCGGAAAATGAAAAATGTGTTTATTGCTGCTCGATCAGAAGTCGCTTCGGTTTCAAGACAACAGCTGTGTGGCATCCCACGAATACCCGCATGCGTGATTTACTCATCTAGAAGCATCGACCGTATGCTATTATATATTTTTTTTCTCCCATCATTGGATTCTGTCGTCTGCCCCTCTGGCCCCTATCCTCCACTTCTACTAGCTAGACGATCCAACCGGGGTCACATATGAGGGGGGGGCTGGACCCCCTCCTGCGGTTCTTGCCTGAGGTATTTTTATCGCGAGAAGGGTACAGCAATCCCTTCCCTCGCGACTTACAAAGTCGATTATGGCTTACTAACAACGAGCTTTGCAACGCGTCGCTTTCATCCTAGACCAGGATTTATTTAGCGAGCAAAAAAACTCCCTCTGCCGGGACTCGAACACATGACCTGGCCCTTAGCAGGCTGCGAGGTTACTCACTAGACCACCGGGGCGACCGGTGCTATGTACCCAGCTGGTGCTGTTGCGCCCTGTTTCCCTCCCTGCTGTATGCTATACTTTTTTATATATGTCCTTTGTATTGCCTTCGGCCTCTGTGCTGTGTTTCTGTGTTTCTGTTTTTTCATGACCTCCCTGCCTACTCTGCTGTGTTGGGTATCGTGATCACGCTTTGCTGTTGCCTTTGTTTTTGTACGTCTGGCTGTCTGCCCATCTACCGCCGCTTTGTCCTGTTTTCTCCGTTACTCCCATGCCCTGGTGCGTAGTGCCTGGTGCTGGTACGTTACCCTTTGATTTTTTCTTTGGGCGGGTGTGGGAAGCGTCCTCCTTTATTTTTGTTTTTGTTTTATTTTGATCGGTCTCCGAGGGCTCTTTTCTCGAACGGTCGGTGCGATACCTGTTCTTTTCTTCCTGTCATTTTGTATTCTTTTTCTGAGTGGTTTGTACCCTATTTTTGTTTTGTTTCCCCGCGGCGTCGTGTGTGCCAGGTTTTGAGACCACGGGCTCCCCATTTTTGTGGACTATAGAGCTAATGCGAGAAACAACAACAACAACAACAACAACTACAGCTGCAAACCCCATGTGCTGCCATCCCGTCCGACATGGGCGTCACGACCGAAGCGAATGCAAAAACGACTCTGTTTCTCGCTTCCGTTCCCGGCTGCGGAAAACGCTACAAGTACTTCGTGTGTACACTTGGAGGAAAGAGAGTGCTGCGTGTACTCTTCTCGCGGAAAAAATCGAAGCCAAGCACCGTAGGGTAGGGGCCCTCCGGGAGAGAAACTCATTTGTGTGATTACCTGGCAGTAATGCTGGGGGGGATTGAGCGCTGATTTAAAGTTATGAAGAGAAGAAAACAAGATGATTCTCAGCCTACAACGCACCCTGACTTAACTCGTGTTCAGAACAACTCCATTGACTTCCTCCTCAAACACAATTTTCCAGACTCCCCTACGGTAACAATCTAGCCGCTAACCCTAACCCTTGGCTACGCAATCTAACCTAACCTGTCGCACGCCCCGAGCTTGCTGCCCATCTCCGCCACCAGCTGACCCGTGCTGATATCCGTGTACTTGACGTAACCTGTGCGTCCCACACTCCCAAGCAGGAAGTGATAGGGCAAGAACTCCAGCCTTCGCGGCTCCACGTGCTCCCGGAGACAATGCACCTGGACGGGCGGTTTTCCGTGAGGGCGGGAGGGGAGGAGGAGTGGAGGACGCGCTAAGCAGGACGAGGGGGGGCCACGCGACACACAAAAAATCAGCCCCATCCTACTTATCGTTTAACCAGGGGCGCGACACAAGGACACACAGGCTGCGTGGTGAAACAAGAAAGGACTATTGTACGACATGTTATCTCAAGACGATAGTACGAGACTAGGAAGGCGAGAGACAACTAGAAACGTGTCCAAAAACACGAGAGAACGAAAGAAGAGGTGGAACGTGCATGAAAACGTGGAAGCGAGGAAGGTGGTCGATGTTGAAATCCCCGGTCAGCTTTCTGTTAGACCTTCTTGTCTCTTACCTCGGCCCCCTGGTTATCGTAGATGTAGACGTACTTCTTCTGTGCAACGGCTACCAGGTTCTCGTTGTGCAGGGTCTTGACGTCTCGGATGGTCTCTCTTAGCTGCACCTGCCAAGATACAAAGAAACGTGCACAAGCCGTGAAAAGGTAAATGATCCGCCGATTGACTGAGAGGAAGACGTCTGCTTCTTATTTGTTAATGATGTTGATGTTGCTGCTGCTGCTGCTGCTGCTGTTGTTCATGATGTTGATATCATTGTTGATGGTTTCTCTTTGCGCTGAAAGGGCGTTCTGATGTCTTTCGGGCATCCTGTCTTCCGTACTCTTGATAAGAGTCAAAAGATATCGTGGTCACAGGCAAGTCCAAGTAACAAAGCTAATAGACAGACCTAACGTGCAACAGCAATCAGCATAATACTAGCCCAGAAGAAGCGCAGACAAGGTATATGTTTTCGTAAGTTGAGAAACAACAGCACAACCCTCTTCTCCTTACTTGGCTTCTCCGACTCGGAAGCTCAGCCAAAGAGAGAGTATACTAGATGAAAGCAGTACAGGTAGTGGGAGCTTTCGGTTCAAACCTGCCTGAAACCCTACAACAGAATCGATTACAACATACACACAAGTTCAGATTGCCAGGAAATTGGCAACAATCCACGCTCTTCGGCCTTGCTCCAAACGAAATGAAAAGAAACCTTGTAGACTTGACTGCGAATTTTTTCACTGCGGGGTGCCCACGAACGAAACCGGGAGTGAGCGCACACGGAGGAGACTTCCCGAAGACAACCCGTGGAAACAGTCAAAGCGGCACGCATCCTCTCCACACGGCAAACCTCCTGCGTACATGCCTCTTCCTTCCCCCCACCCACAAACAACGCAACAGGGCCGCAATCCACTCCAGGTGGCGGGAGACGGCGACGCCTCGGCAACACGGCGCACCATCAAGCATTTGGCCTGTTACTACTCTCGCACCTCCATCTGAATGTCCATCCTGAGCGTGTCCATGAGGGCGAGGTGCCCCTTTCGACCGCCCAAGAGCAAGAAGCGTCCGTTCTTGGTGTAGTCTATCGCGTACGGCCCGAGGTCCGGCAGGGAGAGGTCGAACATCTCCCGAGCCGTGTTCACGTCCACCGCTTCCTGCACGATGCAACGGTCACATGTGCGGGAGGCGGGGTGCTGACGTCCGCTCTCTTGGGACAACTTTCAAAACAAAGAGCGGCCGGCGGAGGCGATTCTACTGTGGAATGTTCACGACCACTCTACAGCAGTCGGCCAGAAGGGGGGGGGTTCAAACCGCGTTATGCGATGGAGGGCAAGATGCGGTAGACGCGCGCATCCCCTTCATGAAACATAATAGAGGAGGAGCAATCAAAACGGTCGGAGTATCTACATTCCCGGTAAGCTGAGCCCATTCAATGGCAGGCCGACCACAAAACAGCAGCAGCAGTCCGTCATCGCAGTTAGTGTTGTCGATGTCCTCGTCGCTGAACTCAACCGTACCTTGAGTTGATCTTGGCCGAACTTGAAGGTCTCTTCCATGCCCTCCGCTTCTAGGAACCCCGCATCTTCGGGCAATAGGAGCTCCGCGACCGCCGTGTTGTGGGCGGCGTCCTCGAACTTCTTCTCCATCCGCTCCAGGCCGCTTCGCAGCTTTTGGTCTGTCAATTTCTTCACGTGCAAATGACGCCGAGAATGGAATAGTCCGAGGCAGCAGCGGTGGCGCAATCAATCAGAATGGGAAGCGGGTGATGCATGGTATGGTTGCTAATCGCGTAAGGTGGAGTCAAAGTGGGAGGTGGAAGAGGAGGGGCGGGCGAGACAGCGTGGGAGTGAGAAAGCGAGGGAGAGAGGGAGGGAGGGGGGGCAGAGAGAGAAAGAGAGAGATAGAGCGAGGTGGTAGCTAGTCTGCCTCTCTTTTGGCACCCATTTCAAACCTTCACAGCAGCCACGGCATCTGCAGACATGCAAGCGTGGTGGCTTCGCGGTGCAAAACCCTAGCCTTCAAAACCTAAAACTTCAAAACCTTTGCCTTCAACGTGTACGCAAGTGAGGCCGTGGACTATTATAGTACGATACATGTACAACCTGGGTTCATTCGCCTGGGACGTAAAGCGCTGCACCCATACTCCAATGTCATGGACGGTACGACTGCCTGCAACCCTTCGAATTTCGAATCGTCGCTTGGAGATGTCAAGCACGCTTCGCCTCGGGCGCAAATGCCGCTGAAGACACGTTGGACCCAACGGAGCGTGGGGGTTGAGCTCAACTGGAGATCTTCAAAAAAGAAGATAATAGCTCAACAGTTCCTTTGTCACCATAAGGTAAAAACTTGACAACGGCTGTCGTTCAATCCTGCCAGGAGTCCAGACTACTGGAATATCCATCCGATGTGATGCTCTTTGAACTGGACAACATCTGCCGTTACATCGTACGGCAGTGGTTTCCGGGTACAGCTGTACACGTAGCCTTCGCGATGCTCACGACTCAAACACACTGCTGGTACATACCTCGGTGGAGTTTCCTGGTCCACGGACATACTTCTCCAGCTGTCGATCCATGGCTTGCTCACCTCGCACGCGGGCTGCCCCTGCCCCACCACCGCTACCTCGTCGTTGTCCTCTGCCACCACCACCATGCCCTCTACCACGGCCCCTCCCTCTCCCTCTACCCCCTCGGCCACCACCGCCACCAAGTCCTCCTCCCCTGCCTTGTTGCCCGGCACCTCTGCTCCCGTCCTTTCGACCTCCTCCGCGAGAAGAAGCAAAGTAATCGGGGCTTCCCGGTGGAGGCGGAAGTTTTCTCTTCACGCCGATAGACGACATATGGCTCGCGCTGTGCTGGTGTGTATGGGTGCTGCGGCTAGCTAGCTGCGGCCGCTTACCCTTGCGACTGTACTGCGTCGAGCGATAATCCCGCCGCATTTTTCAGTTTTCGTCCCCGTTGACAAAAAGCCTCGCAGGGTGCATTGTACTCCGTCCGTCTCTCTCTATCTGTTGCAGCGTCGAGTTCAGCGCGAGCGGCAGATGAAGAGGGCTCCAGACTATGGCTATGGTTGCGCGAAGGCTAGGACCAGTGCAAACTGTTGTGTTGCGACGTACTGGGCTTTGCGATAGCTCTCTTCTTCTCCCTGCATCGAGAACGATAGTGTCGATTTCCGGGCCGATCAACAAGGCCTCCCCTAAGCTGAGTCGTAGGAGCCCGTCATGCAGGAACACGTACTCAACATCGGCGGCACGCGGAACCGCCCCTGTGGCCACAGTGCAACCGCTGAAAGGGACGCCGTGTGTACTCAGGTCTAGCGGTAGTGTTGGCGGGAATAGCGCCACTTGGATTCGGCGCAACCTGCATTGCAACAGCGGTAGAGCTGTTTCTACTGCAGACTGGCTGCACCCTCTGGTCGGTGCTGTACTGCTGTGCCATGGCGATGCATCAAGGGCGAGAAGGATGCCTTCATCAGGCGCGGTGAATCAATTACCAACGGGAGGGCATGGTGTAGTGTTCCTGCAGGTGGCGGGCTTGCGGACAATGTCGCGCGTGTTCGCACCTGCTACCGGTGGCGCTGCTGGCAAGAAGCCGGGAGGGGAGGCCGCATCCCCGTCACTACCGGGTAGCCGTAACGGTCATGGCAACAAGACTCCGCCGCCCCCCAGTGAGATTCGACCACCAGCGGGTTCCGGAGGTCGTCGTGCAAGCAACAACATGGGCCCTCCTGCGGCGAAGCCAAACAATCCTCAAGCCGCTGAAAATCCAGCAGGGTCGATAGGCGACAACGGGCGAACCGTCAAGGGTGGAAATCCTGATCTTCCGGATCGGGGAGGCACCTTCGTCGAGATGCGCGATAGGATAAGGCACGCCAGGGCCGACGCCAGCGAGGACGCCAAGGACTGGATGAAAGACAAGAGAGACGACATGAACACCATGAAAGAGGTGTGGAACCCATCAGCCCCCCTGCCAAATACGGGAAAATCCTTACCACATCAGCGGTAGTGTGCATCCATTGAAGAAGAGAAGCCTGACCAGAGGGATATTCATGACTACTGCTGTTGTATGGGAACGGTGCTCACTTACTACACCAGCAAAAGCAAAGCTGCCAGAGATGATTTGCCTTGTATGTACAACAGCGGTGTTCTTGTCTTTCTGGTGGAAACAGAAGCTCCCAAAGGCAGCTTTGGACCCAGCGGCTGCCACACGCGCGCCCTGTGGCCGTTCCGTCTACGCTCGCTGCCTCTGTCTGTTCTCTTTCCGTACACCCTCCTGTCGGTGGGCGCGCTCGCAAGAATGCGTGTCATTTGTACCTCTTCTTCTTGCTGCATGTGCATACCTCCGTGAAACTTCGAAGCATTGATCTTTGTTCTCGGATGTCCGAGACAAGGAGGCAAACCGAAGACCTTCCCCGAATCAATTGCATGAGTTCTCGCGCAACAGCGACGCGTGCGGTGTTGTCCCTTGACCCCCTTCTCACCAATTCACCCTCACTTCGGCCGATGAAATGGGTTTTGACCATCCCGCCTCTTGGCAGACCCTGAGAGATGCCCGTCGAGGCTTGAGAAACGCTCGCCGAGACGGGACGCTCGGAGCGCAGCTTTCCGACCAGGCCAAGGAGAGCTCGAGTCGCCTGCAGGTTGGTTTTTGCGTCCTTGTGCTGTGCCATCTTTGGTTGATTCGGGTGTGTTTCCTCTTCGTGTCAAAAGCCCGAAACAAAGGCTACCTTTTTTCCAAAGATAGGCAAGCACGCGCGCCCCCGGGCGGGAGAGACGAGCAGCGGTGGCCACAGCCACAGGCGGGGTGCCCTCTACGTCTGAGATTCACAGTGCATCTTCCAACTCGCACGACGGCAAACTGTTGAATGGCAGGATCTCTGGCGCAAGTACGGGGCGGTGGGCATTGGGACGTACTTCGGCATCTATTTCGGGAGCATCGCTGTCTTTTACGGGATCTACGACTACGGCGTCTTGACCAGTCTGCCACCGCAGGGTACGGCGGTGATCGAGCACGTGAGATTTATTGCCGTCCCCCCACCGCCTCGTCACTCCCCCCCTCGGTTTTTGCCATCGGAGTTGGGTTTTCGTCGCTTGGCAACGACGTTGTAAAACAAGCCAAGTCACTTCGTGAACTCGGCAACCAGGTTACCGGTTTTTTTTACCTCTGTTTTTTTTTTGGCGGTAACCATAATGGTGGTCGAGTAGATCATGTTGTGCGGGGTCGAGAACCCTCACTCCGCGCAAGGGGGATGATCGCACCACGTTGTGTTAAGGTGGTCAAGCACCCTCGAGGCAGTTCCACAGTGCTTACAACTGTCTCTGGAAGTGGAGCACCATAAAGTAAATGAAGTCATACACAGCTGTCATCCGTACACAAGGAAGTAAGCACAAGATGCCGAACACCCTTAGCAGGATGCAGCGCACCCTTCATGCGACTCGCCGAATACCTCACGGCGCTTCGCGCTTGGTGATGTCAGAGCCTGGTCCGGTGAGAACCCGACGTGCTCCGTCCCGGCTTTGTAGGGATGCGAGGTCAATGGTCTAACGACTTCGGCATGCACGACTATGAGTACCCGCCCCCCACCGCCTCGTCGGATAGATGCAAGGTTGCCGAAATAGTTTTGAACAGGAGGGTGAAAAAACGCCTGCAGTGTTGGAAGCCGTATCCTTTGAGTATGTGTACCGCGGCGTTCGTCGTAGTGGAAATGAGTGATGATCAGAATGGCGTTGGCATCTGCAACAGGACGCCCGTTCGGTTGTTCGGAGTGGTATCCCCTACCTCTTCACAAGGGCGATACATAGCGCACAGCGTAGTCATGCCTTACGCAAGGCAGGATTCGGACTGCAGGCGACGGGAAAAACCAAACCCTCGTTTTAAGAACCGAAGCACTGGGTCAGTCAATGCCCGATGATATACCCCAGACGACGCCCCCCTGTTTGTTTTGGGACCTGTGTTCATGGTTTTCGCTGTCAGATGCAAGAATGGATGAAGAGTGCGCCGGAGTGGGCCCAGGGCTATTCGGACAGGCTTTTCGGGGCCATGGTCGCAGACCACCGCGCCCGAAGCTTCGTCCTCGCGTGGGCCACGTGTAAGGTGCTCGAGCCGGTGCGGCTGCTTGGCGCGATCGCCATCACGCCGAGGATGGCGCGCGCTCTGGGCAGAGCCCCCTCCAAGGTTTCCGATGCCGACGAGGACGAGGGCTCGGACGCGGAAGATGGTGGTGGGGTTAGTAGGAATGGGGGGAGCAAGCGATAGTTGCGATTGCGACGAAAGGAGTATGTGGAAGCATCGCGCGACGAGCTTCGAGGGGGGCACTCAATGGCTGGTGTGTGCTGCAGCCGTTGGGCTGAATCGCGACTCGATTGGCCAAGAAAAGTTAAAAGTAGACAGTGTTGGACGAAGATAGCGTCGGGTTCGCCCCAGACCCCGATTTTTGTTGGTAGTTGCGACGTACGTTTTTTTTTGCATCATGTAGGATAAATCATTCTTCTGTCCTCGAAGCGTTTTGGAGCTTTTCACAACATTGATCAGCGTATCCCGCGGGGTGTGTGACTCTCCAAATACTTGGGGGAATTGCTCCTGCTCAAAATCGAGCATAGTGTCTGTTATAGCTGTCCGTCACTCACGAACTCAACAAACCGGGCAGCCCTCCTAAGAAGTTGTCGCTGAATCGAAGAAAGCATCACGCGTCTAACTCTTGCGGATAGCTAAATCGTTTCACCTCTGGACGACTCACAGATGAAAAGTGTGTGTGTTGTCGCGTCCGAGGGTTCAACCGCACACAAACGAGCGCGTTGTACTGTCGTGTTGTTCTCTCTCTCTGTTGTTCTCTTTTTCTCTCTTTTTCTGTGCCAGATGGCCTTGTTTCTGCTTGCGTTGTGAAGTACCAAGATTGAACCAAGGGGGTGTACCTCATTCTCTCCGGCCCGTGATGGTGACCCCTAGTCTCAGTTGTTACCTCGCATAGCGCGCAGAGGGAGTGGAGGACTCCAGAATATCTGTCGTTGATTTCTATTGCCTTGCGGACCCCTCGGGGCCATTTCATTTGAGTGTACCTCTTTAGGGTAAGTTAGCCTGCGACCACGGGAATCGACCGCGTCGAGTGTTGGATCAGTACTGACATACGAAGGTACTGGGTAGAGAGAGATCGGAACGGTTTTTGATGTGAAGACAACACCAACAACAACAACAACTGTCGAGCACTGCATGTCTGACAGTTGGGGAAAGAGAAAGGGGTGGGCGTCGACATCCGACATCATTCACCACACTTAAAATGGTTGCCTTTGGCCGTGTGTGCAAGGGTGTATCCAATCTGGTATTCCGCAGCAGAACCGCTTGTTGTTCACGGGTGGGTGCCCGTGAGATCACGTTTTCATGAGCGCGCGGTAGGAGAAATCGCCGCTTAGCTCTCTTCGTTGCTGAAGACGCAAACCGGAGAGCAGCCCGGGATATGTTCACGAGTGTCTTGCATGTATTGTTGGCACGACCAGCATTTTCCTTTCTTGCCAGTGGTCCGAAACCAAACACACACCGCTGATTTGATATCGCTGGCCGCGATGTGCGACCGCGGGGATGGTACGCACAATCAGTGGTTGCTGCTTCAGTCGAGTGCGGCACATTCCGGATGCGTGTTGTTGGCACCAAACGTGGCGTACAGCTTATCGGCGGGGGGCGTTGGAGTTGACTTCTGTTCATACTCTGTTGGTCCGCCGGTGGTCAAGTACGTCGAAGGACTATTCACGCCATCGTTGCTGACATACCTACTTGCACCTTCCCTTTGCAAACACATAACAAGGTCGGGGATATGTTTTGGTTCTTTAGGTCCACCTTCACAACGGAAAAATCCCCGTGTCGCGCTCACCTCTGCTTCGTCGGTTCGGAAGTCGTGGAATACAGTCTGAAGCGAACTGTGTACCGGAGCAAACCAAAGTGCCTCGGGCACTCCCGTCACCCACTTGTTGTTGTTGTTGTTGTTGTTGTCTTCACATTGATAACCGTTGCGTTTTCTCTGCCCAGTACCTGTTCGTGGGTCTACGGACATGGTTTGGATACATTAGCCATACGTACAAGTGTGACGCAGATGGTGTAGAACCTTTTAGGTAGGGGTACGGTGATGATGCACCGGGACCCCCTTTGTTGAGTGCAGCAGCCGCGCTGCCACTCTCTCTTTCTCCTCCTGCTTTCCGAGCACGACAGCGTCCTGGGTACGGGCGTTGTCTCACCGTCTGAAGTTAATACACTACACAAACAAGTCCCGATAAGTACGCGGAGT